ATGAAGTTTGTAGATCTAGGGTTTCAAGAATATGAAACGAGAGAGAAAAAGATAGAGAGAGAAAAAGATTAAATTTGCATATCTGAAAAGTGAGTAGAATAATGTACAAAGTCCTATTTATATATCAACCCTATACTACTAAAGTTGTCTTTTATTAAATGACAACTCTTGTTACAATAATGAAACAGCTAAAAATACAAACAGCACTTTAATATATTTTCAAGTATCCATATTTGAAAACTCCTACTACATTTAATATTTTTATTGAAATATGATCTATATATATATATATATATATAATTATATCTAATACGAATAAAATATTTGTTGGTAAATTAACCCATGAATATAATTACATACAGAAAAATAAGTTTTACATGATAAATATGCAATGAAATAAATTATACATTAAAATATTATATGATAAATATATTTTTATTAGTCGGAATTATATTTGTGTTCCATATTTACACGAATACAAAATTTTATTCTTATTCGAATTCTATGAATACGAGTCAGGCTAACTCAATTTGAATCATTAATCAAATGAAAAATATTTTTATTCTTGTACAATCCGAGATGGAGAAATATGCTTTGCAGTTTTATGCGTTCAATTAATTCTTTAATTTCACTTATACGAAAATGTTGCGGCTTTAGTTGATATGTGTATTGCAATATGTGGATTATATGTTTTCCTAACAAAAATACTTGTTGCCCCTAATGATAATGATGCTTAATTTGGATCATAAATACTCAGACCATTTTCCAGACCAAAGGCCTGCAGTGCCTCTCCATAATCATGGACGATGTCGATGAGTTCTGGGCTGCACCTGTTATTGCCTGGCTTATGTGCACTCGAGAAACCCCGCGCCAGCTGCACTACAACGCGAGGACTACTCCAAACATCAACATGCTCTCAAGAAACCCCGCGCCAGCTGCACTACAACGCGAGGACTACTCCAAACATCAACATGCTCTCGAGAAACCCCGCACCAGCTGCACTACAACGCGAGGACTACTCCAAACATCAACATGCTCGAGAAGTGTGGCCGGCAGAAGCTCGAGGTTTTAGATGTGCAGTTTTTTGAAGGAAACAAGAAAAGAAAAAATCAATTTAATTTTATATTCGATTTAGAACAAAAATTTCTTCCAATTCAATTCAATTTTTAACATCTCACACAATCACACTCAAACAGAAGCATCTCAATAAAATCTTTCACAACTCCAACATAACCGCAGCACAAACAATTCTATTCCTCACTATAAATATATAGAAAGTTCAAACGAGAAAGTACTTCCTATTATTATCAAGCAGCCTCTATCAACAAGAAAAGAAAGGCCCAAACAACACTCTCTCAATAAATTAGTTTCACTCTTTCACAATCCTCCGAATTTGTTCGCGATCGATCGACGTCGATTAAGCCACCAACGGCTCGATTAAAGACAGCGTCTACATGAATGCCGCAATTTGCAATTTCGTCTTATAGCACTAAAAGCTCGAGCTCCTCTGCAAGTCCCGTAATTTCTCGTTGACTTTCCGAGCCTTAGTTTTGAGCTGTCTTTGTTCTTGCTCGCTGGCCTCTTCACTCTGCAAATTCATAACATCAGTCTTTCTTCATATTGCTATAATATTGTCACGATGAACGAGAGTCGTTTACGTTTACCTTTCGCCTGCGTTTCCTTTCGCTTTCATCCTATCAAGAGTAGAAAAAAAAGAAAACGAATATTTGTTAATGTCGCTAGTTAAGTACCTTTGACGATAATGCTAATTGACACAAAAAAAAAAGAAAGAAAAAAGAAAAAAAAAAAAGGAAAGACTAAGGACTTATGAATGAAAACATTGATTGACATAGCAACAAAGTATATCTCCATGTTCACCAAAGCTCGTCTTAGGCTCGCGTTCTCTTCTCTAAGCTGATTCAGTTCCGCTTCCAGCTCCACCGTATACGCCTGCCAAAAAAATGACGCAAAAAAATAGATAAACGAGATTGCTGGATATCAAACTCGAAAAGTCAATCACTATTTGCAGAAGCCTCATATAACATAATGAAGAAGTGATTTGATCGAAATAGAAGTATCTGTCGATGCAAATATTAGAAGCTAAAAAATGAGATTAGTCGAACGAGAGCATCCAAATCTTTACTTTTAAGCCAAAAGCTAATGAATATGTAAATATCATAAGCTAATAGTTGAGTGAACAGAGCATCTGGTCATAATTTCAAGCCAAAAGCTAACAAATACGTAATATTTTGTCAATGTCTAGTGAGCCGAACGAGAGCATCCGATCATATTTTTAACCCAAAAAGCTAACAAATACGTAAACATTAGAAGCTAATAGTTGAGTGACTAGTCAAACCAAATACGTAAATATTAGAAGCTAAAGGTCGAGTGAGTCAAACGAGAGCATCCAATCATAATTATTAACCCAAAACGCTAACAAATACATAAACATTAGAAGCTAATAGTTGCGTCACGATTCGAACCAAATACGTAAATACTAGAAGCTAAAAGTGGAGCGAGTCAAACGAGCACATACAATCATAACTTTTAAGCGAAAACTTAACAAATACGTAAACATTAGAAGCTAATAGTCGAGTGTCGAGTCAAACCAAATACGTAAATATTAGAAGCTAGTAATGAGTTCAAATCGAACATGAGCATCCAATCATAACAAACGCACACACACAAACACACACACCTGCTTCCTTGCCCTAGAGCGTGCGGCCGACTCCCGATTCTTGATCATCCTCCTCTGCCGCCTCTCCATCACCTTCTCCACGGGCCTATCACCTGCCCGCCTCCTCCCCTCCACCCCGCACGGCCCGCCCGTTGCCACCGGGCTGGCCGGCGACCCGACTCCCACCGGCCCATAACCGTACGCCGCCGCTACCGCCGCCACGGGCGTTCTCACGGCGTAGTTGGTGGGCCCAACCACGGCAGACGAATGGGCCGCTGCCGCCGCACCGTCGTAAGCGGGCTGGGTTTGGGCCCTCACGATCCCGGCCCGGACCAAGAAATCCTCGAGCGTCATCTCCCCGAACGTCAGCTGCCGGTTGGCCGCCGGATTCTCGCCGGCACCGTTGGCTCTGTGGATTCGGGACCACACCTCGTCCACAGTTTTCCCGTAAAGGGGCTCGGGAATGGCGAAGGAGCCCTGCCTCGGAAGGCCCGGGCACGGGTTGGGGGCTCGACCGGGGAACTGTGCTGAGTACTGGTTGATGTTGCTGGTGGGCTGTGTATGAGAGCTGCATTGGGCCTGGGCTTGTGCTTGGGCTTGGGCCTGATTCTCCTCGGCGGTCCATATGCTGTTAAGGAACTCGTCCATGTTCATGGACCCAAAATTCTTCCCGCTTTCATTGATGGTGTTTTGGAACTCGTCGAGCGTGAGAGTGTAAATGGATTGCTGACGGCTTATTACGGTCTCGTCTTCTTTTGGTTGTCGTCGTTGTTGTTGTCGTTGTTGCTGCTGACTGGACTCGGTTACTGGTGAGCTGGCATCTGGCCCTTGGCTCGTATTTTCGGAATCCATACTTTTTGTGATTGTGGTTGCTAGATGAGATACATATGTATGTTGTTAGGACTCAACCGGGACTATATAATCCAAACCATAATCAATTTCAAACCTAACTTATTTGAATACGCTTATAAACTAATTGAATAAGTTTTTGAACACAAGATACATATAAACTAAAAAACTAACTAAATAAGGTTGTAATAAAATTTACCATCAATAGCTATTAAACAACATAAACTAACAGTTGCAGCAGATGCAAATAAAACTAAATAAAATTAAACGACATATTAAATCACTATATATATAACCAATCAAGATCAACTCCAACAAATGAAAATTAAGGCTTCACAACAACACAAGCATATATATACACAGATGAATATAATATAGGAAAATGCTACGATCCGTTGCGGAACCATTCCTAGATCAACTATGTCAGACGGTTACACGATAATCAACGATTACAAACTCCGACGGAATGATTCCGTAACGGAACAGTAACATTTCCTTATAATATAAACTAACCTTATTGTAAATCAAGACAAATATATGCTTCACCTATTGAAATTTCACCCTTTTACTTAAAAAAATAAATAAATAAAGCAAGCAAGGATCTTGAAATTAAGCTCCACACAAAGCTCATCCAATGAAGAAAAAAAA